TGTCTAGTTCAACTTGGGGTAGAAGGCTCTGCTCATGAACTTTCTGGTGACCTTGAGACCTCCTGATGACCTCTCACCAGATTTGGATACAATGAGTTCTCCCTGGCAACATCCACATACATGCCATCACCTTCTGACCTGACTTCTCCCCACAGTAACATAGATCCTGCTCTGAAATACTTCCCACAGTAAACAGATCCGGTCCTAAAATACCCACCTACAGTAGCATAGCTCATATCTGAAATATTCCCACACAACCCATAATAACAACCATGGGGCAGGTGAGTTTAGTTCTTACAAGTAAAATAATTGGTCAATTCCTTGATTAATAGTCTTCATAAGATTAATTTTAATTTCTCAAATGACACGTTCCCCTTATAAAAATGAAAACATCTGACCCCCACACCTTTGTAGAATTAACAACTGTCACTAGTTTGGTATGACTGCTTCCAGATTCTGTTAGACGTTTACATTCCTACAGGTGTTTTTCCTTGGAGTGTAAGGAGTGTAAGTTTTGTTTTGTGAATTTTTTGGAGGAAAGAAATCTACATAAGAGTATCATCTGGCAATGTTCTTTTTTCACTCAATAGTATGAGTTGGAGAATCATTTTATTTGTACATAGAAATCTACCCTATTTGTTTCCACTGCTGCACAATATTCCCTGTATTAGACAACTATAAGGGAATGGGAATTCATTTGAAAGTGAAGAAAACTTTTGTAAGGTATGTTAGTCAGGGTTCTCCAGAGAATCATTATATATATATATATATATATATATATATATATATATATATATATATATCCTGGTGCACAAAATTTGTTCACAGGGTGGGGGGCTGCACCAGCCTGCACCCTCTCCAGCCTGAGACCTCTTGAGGGATGTCTGCTGGCTCCCAACCGCTCACCTGCCTGCCTGCTTGATTGCCCCTCACTGTTTCTGCCTGCCAACCTCATCACTCCCTAACCACTCCCCTGCCAGCCTGATTGCCCTTAACTGCCTTCCCCTTGCTGGCCCAGTCACCCCTAACTGCCCTCCCTTGCCAGTCTGGTTGCCCCTAACTGCCTTTCCCTGCAGTGCTGGACCCCCCCAACTGCCTTCCCTTCAGCCTGGCCTGCATCCTTTTTCAGTCCAGGAGCCCTTGGGGGATGTCCAACTGCCAACTTAGGCCTGCTTTCTGCTTGGACATCTTTATGGGTGCCTTGGAGGCAAGAGAGTCTCCCACCACCACCACTGTGCTCACCAGCCATCATCCTGGCTTCTGGCTGAGCGGGGCAACCCCTGTGGGAGTGCACTGACCACCAGCCACCAGGGGCAGCTCCTGTTTTGAGTGCCTGCCCCCTGGTGGTCAATGCACATCATAGCAACTGATTGTTCCACTTCAATTTGCATTACTCTCTTATTATATAGGATATGAAAACAGAGAGAGAGAGAGAGAGAGAGAGAGAGAGATTGAAGCTGGGCCAGCTATTATAGAAGTTGGAAGTGTGATTGAATAGGGCAAGGTGTTGTTGTTTTTTAAAAACATGTATTTATTGATTTTTTACAAAGAGGAAGGGAGAGGGAGAGAGAATTAGAAGCATCTATGAGAGAGAAACACCAATCAGCTGCTTCCTGCACAATCCCTACTGGGGATGTGCCCGCAACATGACCTTGACTGGAATTGAATCCGGGACCATTCAGTCTGCAGGCCAACGCTCTATCCACAGAGCCAAACCAGTCAGGGCCTAGGTGTTGTTGTTAAGGAATTGTGTCAACAGAGATGGAATTTCCCCATGCTGTCCTCCATTTGATGTTTTTAGAGGCAGTGTTACTTATTAACCTTAAATTGTTCCAGCAGTGAAAGTGAATGAGTCTGTAGACTCATCAACCGATGGATTCCTACTGCTGGCAGTCTAAGCACATTCTTGGCAGTTTTCTGCCCTGGACAGATGGGGACTTTGCTGTCTCTAACTTGAGCTACTCCTTAAGGGACTTGGTCGCAGTGGTCAGAGAGAAGGTGGTTCACTTGCAATCTCTGAGACCCAAGATCTCTATTCAGACAGACCAAGGCTCCCAGCAGGAGTCCTCCACCAGCATGAGGCCTGTGGACTGACTGTCAGAGCTGGCGGGACCTCAGGTTTCTTCGGACCCAAGCCCGCTCCCTTGCCGATGAGGAAGCTGTGAAACAGAAATGATACAACTTGATAATCAGAGTTCAGGTGTGAGGTCCTGCATTTGGATTCCAAAACTGAATGAGATAAGCTCATGATTGGGAATTCCTAATTTAGCAGCAGCCCTTATTTAAAAGTTTTGGGATTAGTTGACAAAATCTTTGTGTGCGTTGGCACTGACATGGTTGTTATGACAGATGAATATGCTGTGTTTAAATATATTCATTATATTTATAAAATAAAGTGAATATGTGTTCATAGTACAAATTTGAAAACTATTAAAAAGTATAAAGATAAAGTCAGAAATCACCCATAAAATCTAACATGACTACCTAAAGGCAATAATTGTAAATATTTTGTGTGTATGTATATTTCAAAAATATTATATAAAGCTATCATATTGCATCTACAATTCTGTAACAGACTTCTGAAAATTAAACCTTATATTTTGAGATAACTGTAGATTCACTCGCAGTTGTAATAAATAATATTAAAAAATAATAATACAGAGATCCCATGTACACTTTGCCAAGTTTCCCACAATGTTACCATCTTGCAAAATGATAGTACAATATTACAATCAGAATATTGACACTTATAATCTACCAATACAATTAAATTACCCTGTTTTACTTTTACACATTTGTGTGTGTGTTTAGTTCTCTACAATTTTATCACATGTTGTAGATTCACACATCCACACCACAGTCAAGTTGCTGAATAATATTATTACCACAAAGAGCCCTCACTTTGCCCTTTCATAATCACACCCTCTTCCTCTCATATGCCCCCACCTATCCTTGATCCCTGAACACCATTAATCTGGCCTCCACTTTATCTAAATTTTATCATTTCAAAATGTAATATAAATGGAATCACACCTTTTGTTCTGTATGTAACCTTTGGGATTGGCTCTCTCCCCGCCCCCCCATTCAGCATAATTTCCTTGAGACTTATGTGTATGTCTCACTAATTCATTTCTCTTTATTGCTGGATAGTATTTTGTGGTATGGATGACCAGTGTGTTTGGCCAGAGGAGGTGAGGTAGGACGGCCATGCTCTGGGCTACAGTATTGCCTATGGGCCCTGTTTATTTCAGTTTCTACCAAAATAACTAAGGGACATTTGAGAGGCGTCCAGTTTTTTACTATTAGGAATTAAGCTGCTTTGACCATTTGTGTACAACTTGGTATGTGAAGATAAGTTCTCATTCCTCTGGGTTAAGTGCCAGAGAGTATAATTACTGAATCACATGGTAATCACATGTTGAATTTATAAGAAACTGCCAGATTTTTTCCCCCTGGAGTGTTAATCTTACATTTTTAACACATAATGTGTCTATTTATCTAAGTAGTTAAATGGTCTTTGAAAAAATGTGATTTTAAGCCACTACCTGAGATTGCATGGGATGGGTTAGCATCATTTATTCAAGCTTTCCCCGAATGTTGAACATTTTGGTTGTTTCAGATTTCTTTTTCCCTGTAGACACTTTAGGGTCCCCGAGGGAAATCTAACTCACAGCATTCCTGTAGGGAGAGGTTTTGCTACTTATTGGGACCTCCCAAGTTCACTTTTGATGATCGGAGATTCCAGTCACAGTAGAATGTTTTGGTCCCTTCGTTTGTCAGAGGCAACTGTGCTTCGCTGCGCTGGCGGACAAGGAAGGGTGTCTGGGTGGAGGGCAGTAAAGCAGCAGAGGAAGGAACAAGTCTCTGCCTTGTCTTGCTGTGGCTTGCTCGATGTTATCTTTTCTGGTTTCTCTAATGCAATCAGAGCCCCGTGGAGCTAAATTTCCATGTAGTTGGGTTGGAGGGTCTGGGTAGAGTGCTAGTAATGATTCTGAGTTGAGCTTTGACAAATACAGAAAGCTATACCATTACAGGGAAGGGGAAGGGAACAAGCATTGAGTTTTACTGGTGGTCTAGTCACTGTGCTAAGCATTTTACATTAACTTATTACATTTTCGTTACTCTTCTGCAAGGTAGACATCGACACTATTTTGTAGATGAGGAAATTAAGAGTGAAAGATGGGCTATTTCCCTGGTTACAAAAATTTCAAGCAAAAAAACAAAAAACAAAAAGAAAGGAAGTGATAGTTCCTTATAATCTCACCTTTTAGAGAAAAAAAACGGTTACTGTATTAATCTTCCCTTAACTTCAAAAATGTATACCAACACACACACACACTATGTGTTTTATTTTTTACAAGAAACTGGAACCATATTATATATACTGGCCTGAAACTTGCCTCTTTTTCCTCTCCTAACCGCGTCTCTTGGTTATCTTGTTTTGTAATTGATTAGTCTTATTTATGAAAGCAGGGTTTTGGGGGGAGTTGGAACACACTTGATTGACACACTTGATTGTGTGACTTCATGCAAGTCACTTAACCTCTTGGGGTTCCAGATTCCCTCATTGGCAACATGGGAGTAGGGCACAGAGGATTCCGTGATGTAATGCCAATGAGCAGGGCACCTCAGGCCCCTGTCCTCCTCGGGACTCTCTGGGATGTTCTCTAAGGTCCAGCCCTACTTGACCTGGATGGCAGCAGCCACTTTCAATAACTCAGACGGCAAAGCCGCCGCCTGCGGTGCCAGGAGACTCCGGAGAGCATTGCGCGTTCCAGCTGCTCCTCCGGGAGGGTGGTGATGACGAAAGGGACCGCTGGGCGGGGCTGGGGGCGGGGCTAGGGCGGGGCCACAGAGATGCGGCGCGTGGTGCGTGCGGGCTGATAGGCCGGCGGCGGCGTGACTGGCACTCGCGCTGGCCACGCCCCGTGCCGCCGAGGCCCCGCCCCTTCGTCCCTCGGGTGCCGCCGCGGCCCCTGCCTAACGGCGCTCGCGCAGCGATGGCGGAGGCCGTGGAGCGCACGGACGAGCTGGTCCGCGAGTACCTGCTCTTCCGCGGGTTCACGTACACGCTGCGGCAGCTGGAGGCCGAGATCAAGGCGGACAAGGAGAAGGGGTTCCGGGTAAGAGGCCGGCGGGCGCGGGCAGAGGCGGGCGGAGGCGGCCCTGAGGGACCGGGAGCGGGCTCTTGCCTAGCCCTGCCCTCGGAGGCGGGAGAGGCGCTGTCCCCGCGCCGGGGGGCCCTCCTCCTCCTGCGCGTCTGCCCTCCTTGACGGATGAGGAACTGGGCCCTGAGAGGGGACGTGACTTGCCTGAAGTTGCCCGGAGGAGCCTGGCGGAGGAGGCTGGCTGCAGCCCAGGTGCCCTGGCTCCCGGGTCGGGGCGCCGTCCTGCCCCCCAGCCTCCCAGCAGGTGCTGGCAAACCCCGGCCGGAATGGCCACGAGGCCATCGGAGCTCAGGCTGGGTAGATGCTTGGATTTGGGCAACACAGTGTTCTGTAGTTAGCCTCCGATGGCCCTGGGAGCACAGGGGTCTGATGCAGCCCAAAATGTGAGCTGGTTCCAGGATGGACGGTGTTTGTGGAAAAGGGCCTTCCTTGCCGGCGACTCCCTGGCAGTTTTGCTCCAGCAGTTGAGGAAGACCTCATTGCACAGTTATTAATACGTTATGTGTCCCCTGTAAGACATGATTTTCCGTTGAGAAGTTATAGTGTCTGTTTGCTGACTTTCAATGAATTGAGAGAGGCAGAGAGCTAGCAGCAGGAGTTGGAGAGGAGCTGAGAGACCTGAGCTGAGAGACCGGCTCCTTAGTGGTAAAAGCAAAACATCTCAGTTCTCCGGGCCTCAGTGTCCCGATCTGTAAAATGGGGGCATTGGATTGGTATTGGTAACCATAAACCTTTGCAGATTGTATGCGGGTGTGACTTCTTTAGCCGACACTCTGAGCAGCTGCAGGGGCTCTAGGATGCTTGGATGACTTGAAAGAGTCAGCCAGTGCAGCTCACCATGAGCCTTGAAATCCCGGAATAGTGGAGATTCTTATGCTCTCTCTCGTCCAAGACCCGGACCCAATATAGTCTGCTTTCTGAGTCAGCATTTTTTAACACCGAAATTTCCACACCTGCTAGAAGGTGAAACCAGATAATCTAATATCAGATGATAACTTAAGAGCTATTATTTTAATATGTTTTTAAAGTCCTCTAGATCATTTACGTGAATTTTTAAAAGTATATATTTTATTGATTTTTTACAGAGAGGAAGAGAGAGGGATAGAGAGTTAGAAACATCGATGAGAGAGAATCATCGATCAGCTGCCTCTTGCACACCCCCTACTGGGGATGTGCCTGCAACCAAGTACATGCCCTTGACCGGAATCGAACCCGGGACAATTCAGTCTGCAGGTTGACGCTCTATCCACTGAGCCAAACCGGTTTTGGCCGTTAACGTGAATTTTTATCTAACATCAACAGCCACAGCAAGAGGGAGAAGCTGTATCAACTCCGTGGAAGGAGGGGAGACTTCCCTTCTGTCCTTCACCCACCTTCTCTCACTAGGTGGACAAGATTGTGGACCAGCTGCAGCAGTTAATGCAGGTGTATGACTTGGCTGCCCTGCGGGATTACTGGAGCTACCTGGAGCGGCGACTCTTCAGCCGCTTGGAGGATATATACAGACCCACCATCAACAAGCTGAAAACCAGCCTGTTCCGCTTTTATCTTGTCTACACAATTCAGGTGCTTGTTGATTCAGGGGTTCCTTGGTGGAAAGCCTTATTTGATCCAGAAATAGATTTTCTTTTCACTTCTAGAGAGGACTCTTTGTGTTACTCTGGGAAAGGGTGAAACAGTCGCAGTGCAAGTTATTTTTGACTGTTTTCCTAAAACCTCATCTGCAGACCACATGACTGGTCTTCCTCATTTCAATTTCTCCTCTTGTTTTAAGCATGCAAGCCTGGCTGGTGGTTTTTTAAATACATTTTTATTGATTTCAGAGAGGAAGGGAGAGGGAAAGATAGAAACATGAATAATGAGAGAGAATCATTGATTAGCTGCCTCCTGCACACCTCTTACTGGGGATCGAGTCAGCAACCTGGGCATGTGTCCTGATTGGGAATTGAACCATGACCTCCTGGTTGACACTCAAACATTGAGCCACACTGGCCAGCCTTGCTGGTATTTTAAAGAATATAAGTAGCGGGTTAAAATTTGTATAATAAAGATTATAGCTGACCTGGGGGAATAGTTAATGAGATTGTTTGAAAATTAACAAGGAATTAATTTTTAGGGTGGCAATTATCATCAGGACTTCAGTTTAAACCAACCTCTTTGAAATTACAAGAAACTTGAGAAATGAGTGATGATTTCCTTTATTTTACAGAGTTTGTAAATTGTGTTTGGCCACTTACCTAGCAAGCTGACCATCAAAAGCAATGATGATGAGTCTTACCTCTGACTTCTGTCTCTTCTCCCGCCTTGCTGTCTCCTCTGTGTCTTGGCAGACAAACAGAAATGACAAGGCCCAGGAGTTCTTTGCAAAGCAGGCCACGGAGCTCCAGAACCAGGCCGAGTGGAAGGATTGGTTTGTCCTGCCCTTCCTGCCATCTCCAGACACCAACCCCACCTTTGCCACCTACTTTTCTCGTCAGTGGGCGGACACCTTCATTGTGTCGCTGCACAACTTCCTGAGCGTCTTGTTTCAGTGCATGCATATCCTCCCAGCTGCCTGGGGCTGCGGGCTACTCTGATACTTCCAGACAATATGATCAGCGGCTACTGCCCCTGATGCAATCAGTTCTTCCACAAAATGCCCACGGGTCATTGTCATGTGTCATGTGAGGCGGCTGGACAGATGGTGGTTATTTTTGTCAGCAGGCCAGGGAATCGTAAGTCTTAGCTCTGACACCCGGCTGCTGAAGCAGTAGTTGCCGTGGGGGACTGTAGCCTCGGTGGGGTGCCGGTGCGGGGCTCTGAGAGGACCCCTCAACAGGTCTGAGGGCCTCTCTTCGCAGATACAGGGGTTGGTAGGAGTTGCTGCTTGGTGACACCAGCCATTCTCTAGAGCAGTGTTTCCCAAAGTGTGGTATGCGTACCCCCAGGGGTACGGGAAGAGTTTGGTGGGGGTACGCATTGCACCGGAGTTTGGTGGGGATATGCACTGCACCGTGCTTAGCTGCGCCTAATTCTACGTTCTCATGAGTACGAGGGGTACTCAGCGTTACGAAAATTATAGAAGGGGTACACATATGTCAAAAGTTTGGGAAACACTGCTCTAGAGCACCGTCTCTGAGTCCCCTCCTCCACCAGGAGAGCATCACTTGCCTTTTTTGTGGTTAGGTAGCAGATGAGAACACTTCTTGGGCTAGATTAGTGTTTGGGTCTGTTTCTCTGACGATGACCTCAGTGGTCCTTCTCCAGAAAACAGCAGCTCTAAGAACGTATGTGTGGTTATTTGAGAGAGAATGTAAATCATTTACGGCCTACCGTACTTCCCATTTTGTCAGGAAATGCCTTTGATCCCAGGCCTGGGACCAGTATCCATTGCTTCTGCTCCCTAGGCTGAGGCTCTGGGGGCGGGGAGATGCTGGTTTGAATGGGGCTGCCTGGTGAGTCACTGATAAACGGGGCATTGTGGGAGGAACATCTGCTGGTGGAGGTAGGAAGGGTGCCCTTTCCATTTGCGTGTGGCTGCTGTGGATTCTGCTCCTGCCAGCATTGCCTTCCTTCTGGCCCTGCTGCTGCTCTGCGTCCCGAGGGCTTTCCGGTGAAACCAGCAGCGGGCTCAGCCACAGGTGGTTATGGCACAGCCACGTGGGCCTCTAGGGAAATGGAAAATGTCACTCTGGGTCTTTTCAGTGCATGACACTGCCCATTCGAGCCTCCGATCACGTCCTCCGTGCTGAGGCCCTGCCTGCTTTGCACTCCTCCTCACTGCAGCTGTTTGAGGGGGTAGGGGAAGACTGTGGCTGTTCGCATGGTGGCATGTGGCCGCACAAAACGCAGGAAGCTTTCTGCTCAGCCTAAGCCTTTGCAGGGAGAGGTTCAGTTGGCAGGGGAAAGCCGAGTGGCTGACCCTTCTGCCTCGCTGGTGGGGCGGCCGGCAGTGTGCCCACAAGGCCTGGCCTCTTTGCTCGCTGTTAGCTGCCTGTTGCCGATGCTTAGACTGGCATTGAAGCCCACTGGATATGGCTCTTCATTGCTGGCATTGGGAGAGAACTCCCAGGTTTGGGTTTATGTCCTCTCTGGAGGCTAGTCAGCAGATTGTCATGTGTCTGTAAGTCTGTCTGAACGAGGTCAGGCCAGGCTTGGCCTCGGGGGAGAGACTACTTCATAAAGCTGAGAGGAGCCCATAGCACCGAGTCTGTACTCCATTCCCCCCGTCTCGTGTTCAGGGGCGAGGCTGCTTGTGAAGGGTTTGGGACGGTCTCAGTCCTTCCCCAGGCAGGCTTATTCTTTAACCGAGTGCACCAGTGCCTGTGATCCTGAACTTTGATGCCGAGTGCCAGAGGACAAACCAGGTTCAAGAAGAAAATGAAGTTCTACGTCAGAAGGTTGGTTCTGAGCACACTTGCTTCTTGGGAAAGTCTTTTGCTTTTCATGTTTGAAATCAGGTGGAGGTGGTGGAAAGCACTGATCTCAGAGGAAAGTGAGCCTCCAGAAGACCAATGGGAGACTCGGGGTGGAGATAGTCTCTGAAAACATTTTAAGTCATTTAAGAGTGAACAACACAGTAACAGTAATGTACTTTAAAAAAAAAAAATAATATATATATATATATATATATATATATATATATATATATATATATTATTGATCTTTTACAGAAAGGAAGGGAGCGGGATAGAGAGTTAGAAACATCAATGAGAGAGAAACATCGATCAGTTGCCTCCTGCACATCCCCTATTGGGGATGTGGCAGCAACCAAGGTACATGCCCCCGACCAGAACCGAACCTGGGACCTTTCAGTCCGAATGCTGACTCTCTATCCACCGAGCCAAACCAGAAATGACTATATCTGCCTTCATGCCACTTGTCACCTCACCTCTTTTCGTATGTCTATTTCATGATCCCAGTCCCTTTCTACATATATCCACATCTGTATTGTTTAATAACCCAGATATCATTTAATTGTGCTGCTCAACTCTATATTTCTCTATTTTCGTAAAGTGACAGGGCCTAGAAACCCATATTTGCCTTTATATTTTGCCTGTTGAGCATTTATCTGTCCTTGAAATTAAGATCTCTTTAGAAACAGGAAGATTTTCAGAACAAGGAAGATTATAAACTGTTTAGGTTTTGAGGTTTAAGATTCTTGGTGTTTTTTTTGCCCTAGCTGATTTGGCTCAATGGATAGAGCGTTGTCCTGCAGACCAAAGAGTCCTGGCTTCAATGTCAGTCAAGGGCCTCTGTGCAGGCTCCTCCCTGGCCTGGGCCCTGGTCAGGGTGTGTGCAGAAGACAACCAATTGATGTGTTTCTCTAACATCGATATCTCTCTCTGTCTTACCCTTCTCTCCCACGCTCTCTAAAAATTAATGGGAAAAAATCCTTGGGTGAGGATTAAAAAAAAAGAAGGAAGATTCTTGGGTTTAGGGTGTGTGCGTATAATTTTTTTCAGGCAAACAGTAAAAAATGCTGAGCTTCATTTAATAAAACTTTTCCATGAGAGTTCCAGAGTCTGATTTGTAGATTCCCGAGAGCAAAGCAGGATTGGGTGGAGCTGTTTTTCTCAGTGAATTCAGGAGGAAGCAAGTAAAATGATAAAAGGGAAGCGAGTCAAATGATAAAAAGAAAAAAAAAAAAGGGTTTTGTATATCTAACGGTTTTTAGTTTCTCACCTCACTGTGGTCAGGTAACAGCTGCATTCACCTGAGGGAAGGAGGGGCTAGGCACACACTCACAGTTCCGAGTCCCCCAGGCGGTCCAAACCACAGCGGGCAGAGAATGGGCCTGGCGTCCTGAGACTGAGAGCCAGTGAGGATGGGTGTTGGATGTGATGTGGCTAATCTTCCCCAGCGGGGTGATGTCATTGGTGAACACTGTCCCATCTCTGTGCAGCTCTTTGCATTGCAAGCAGAGATCCACCGACTAAAGAAAGAGGAGCCACAGCCAGAGGAAGAAAAGGCCTTGGTCCAGCACAAGTTGCCTCCTTACGTCTCCAACATGGACCGCCTGGGGGACTCGGAACTGTGAGTGTGTGCCTAGCCCCTCCTTCCCTCTTTCCCCTGTGCTCTTACCTGGACCCCCTGCTCCTGGAGATGCAAATTTCCCGAGAGCCTCCCGCACTCACGGTGAATGCTTCCTCACTGAGTAAGCTCCCCTGGCCTCTGAGGTCCTCCACCTGCCGAGCTCTTCCAGGGACCTGCACATCCTGGTGTGCGCCACCTGGATAAATAAATATGACCAGTGTCCTAAGCCTTGTGATGTTGTTGTGCATTGGAAACAGTACCTCGTGGTTGAAAAGATTGGCAGTTCCACAGTAGAAGCATCATCCTGTGTGAGGGTTTGAAGAGGTAGGCAGATGTGGGGAGAGGTATTTGAGTGACTTTAAAAACCAGCCAGCTAAACAGAAGACCCAGTTGATAATAATAACAGCAGTAGCAGCTGAAGAGATGTAGGCACAGAGAGGTCACAGTGAGTGAGTGAGTGAGTGGTGAGTGAGGGATGAGTCAGGACACAAACCCAGACAGATTCCCAACCTACACGTGGCCAAGCACTGCATCCAGTGAAACTGCTGTCGTTTCTGAGCTAGCACCATCTGATGGTAATAGAATGCACACCGAGAAATGGAATTTAAAAATTTTAGCTATGTTAAAAAAAAGTAAAAAGAAACAGGTGAAGTTAATTTTAATGATGTATTTTATTCAGGATAGTATATCCAGATTATCATTTCAGACATGTAATGAATATAAACAAAGCATCTGAGCTTTTCCCGGGCCCTCGAAGGAGAGCCGCAGACTTCCCGTTGTGCCGGGCAGGTTGCCAGCTCTCTTTGGTATAAGCCAGTGGTCGGCAAACTCATTAGGCAACAGAGCCAAGTATCAACAGTACAACAATTCACATTTCTTTTGAAAGCAAAATTTTTTAAACTTAAACTTCTTCTAATGCCACTTCTTCAAAATAGACTCGTCCAGACCATGGTATTTTGTGGAAGAGCCACACTCAAGGGGCCAAAGAGCCGCACGTGGCTCGCGAGCCACAGTTTGCCGACCACAGGTATAAGCGAAGAACTGAGGATAATGCCACCTAAAGTCCAGGCGTGTGAGCCCGGCTAAGGCCCTAGTCCCTGGCACTGTCCTCAGCCCAGCAGGCCTGTGCTCCGGCTTCTCCAGGTCCCCCTCCAGCCCGGTGACCTTGTGTTGTGTGTGCTGTCCAGAGCCATGGTGTGCAGCCAGAGGAACACGACCCTCTCCCAGTCCCCTCGTGTGGGTTTCCTGTCCTCGCTGCTGCCTCAGAGTAAGAAGAGCCCCTCACGGTTGTCACCTGCCCAGGGCCCGCCTCAGGCTCAGAGCTCGGCCAAGAAAGAGTCCATCAGCAGTCAGGTAAGCACAAGTCCCATCTGTTCTAACTTGCCAAGAGGCCTCTGACATCTGAGTGTACCTGCTTGTCAAATGGAGATGTGTTCTCCTTTCGCTTAGGACTGAATTCTTGGGTATGCTTGTGAGGTCAGAAATTCACATCTCATCCCCTTTCTCCTCCTCCCCTCCCGCTCTCCTCTTAGACAAGTGACAGCTCTGCTGGATGGAATAG